TTTTTTTGTTGGATATCGTCTTATCATCTGTAAGTCTTCATATTTCCCCCTCGGAGGGGACAAGGGGTGTGCCTTATTTTATCTGCTAGTGAAAGTTTTGGTGGCAATATTCTTTTACTCCCTGTGTCCCATTTAATATAAGGTAGTTTGACTCGGCACAGAGTTTAAGGAAAAAAAGGAAGACTTTTAAAACTTGTGGTCTAAAATGAATGATAGAAATTTATGGCTATAAATCATTTCATTTAGGGTAAAATATACATTTTAAAGTTGAATTGTTACTTAATATAGAAATGTGGCCAGGATGGGGTTCTTTACTTAGATGATCAGATGCATCTGTTGGATGCTACTTTGTTTCTGTGGAGCATATATTGCTGAAATATTTCTATATACTTTGTAAATGGAGCTCCTACCCCTCCATTCCATAATAAGCAATTTACTTGTTAGAAAAGATTGAGTGGAAGACATTTTTATATAAACTGTTAGCAGTTTTCTTGTAATGATGGTGTTGTTAGTTCCCCTACTATCTGAGGATGTATTTCAAATTTCAACTGTGCATTGCTTTGCACGGAAGAGGAATTTAATCCTTTGGTTCTGTGCACTCTTCCTTCTCATTTCTCACTTGGGTCAGAATTAAAAGAAAATCTTTATCTTTCTGTCTTTTATCAGTTCTTTTGACAGTAGAGGGTCTCTTCATGTTATGACTAACGGTAATTTTGTTCTGTTATCAGGTGTACTTTGAGCTTCAACATCATGCACCTCATGTAAAAAAGATCATTGATGATCAGTATTCTCGATTATGCAAAGCACAGCAAAAGATTTTGGAAGTTGAAAGGAAACAGGAAAAGATCGAGGATCGTGTTGAGCCTGCAGTTCGGTTTCACAGTGAGCTAGAAGAGCGCTTGCAAAGCCTTAGACACCTGCCGGCAGCACATAAGACATCTCTATCTAAAGCTGAACGAGAGTTTAAGTCTGAACTTGGTAATATGCTCATCGAATGCCAATGCTTAATGTAATTTTATTTTTGGTTTGTTGTGAACGCTAGCTCATCATGGTGTAGAAACTGATATAATGCACGTATATATGTCTAGTCTTTTGCATTTGGCCGACAGACTATTTCTACCACCTCTCTGGATGCTCTAGAAGCTAACCCCTAATGGATACTGGCCTGTAAGCCCTAACAATGGCCAATGAGTTATTTGTCGGGCTTAATTCATAATGTCTCTGATAGTTCCACCAAATTTCTTGTTTACACACCTTACGAGGGGCTTCAGGGTGGGGGTTCCCTTTACCCACCTTAATTTGAAAATTCCCTGGCTAATACCCAATGATTTGGAAACATGGGAGACGTATGGACGAAGCGGAAACGAGCATGTCGGCTTGAGTTTCCAACTCTTTGATTGTTTTTAGAGCCTAAAATTTTAAAAATAAAGTGAGGCAGAATCAACTGTCCAGATCAATTCAAATGATCCAACAGTCTATCATTCTTATTCTATGATTTTTTTCATTCTCCTTTTTTGAGTTTTTTCTTTCCCAGCACCTCCTCCTTCTCCACCTCCATCAAAACCACCACCGCCACTGGCAACATCCTTTGTTCTCCACCACTGCACTGCTTTCAAGACCTCAGCAATCCCACCTCAAACCAGTCTAGTGGAGTTGCTGGGGTCAGAGATGTTTGGCGGCATTTATGGTGGTCATGTCTTTTTTCTTTTGGGTCGAGCTGATGCCAGATTGGTGCGTTGAGAGAAAATGTGAGTTAAGTGAGAGAAGAGAACATTGAGTTTGTGGGAGATGGGGGTGGATTAAGGGGGGTGGGGAGGGGTGGTGGTGGTTAAAGTTGAAAATCAGTGGTCGTGTGAGCAGCTGTATAGATTTTTTGGATGGTTGAATGGGATGTTTTGCTAGAATTGAGGGTGTACAGAAATTGGGACCGGTGTTTTTCTTTTTCTTGTGGGTGAGGTCTGAAAGGAAGCGAGTGATCCTATGTTGAAACAAATGGAGCGGGCGGTCCGTAATGATGGTCAAATAGTTTCTCCCTGTACAAGTGGCGTGTAATACCCATCCTGAGAATAATTTTGTTTTTTAGGCTAGTTAAAGGGATCTTAGTTTTTTTACGGTGTAAACAAGAAATAGGTGTAAGCTTGGGTGGAAAAGTATGCATTTTTGTTCTGGCTTTAACCTTGTGAGTATGGAACTGAACATTATGTTTTTACGTCATGCAGACAGATTTAGGGGAGTGGAGTTGGATGCTCTACGCTCTTCTATTGAAGCAGTAAATGCCAGGTTGAAAAGATACACACATTCTCTACAGCCCAGCCAGTCAAATGAAGAGCGACAAGTATCAGTGAGGAGAAAAGTGCGTGTCCAAGAAAATGAAATGTCACTGCTGAAAGCATCACTTGAAAAGTTGTCAGTCATGAACAGTGAAAATGCAAAGAAGGTTAAAGTAGTTGAATCGGCGCTGAAAGGCCGTGAAATAGGCACTTGATGATATGTAGGATTGTATGTTGATTTTTGTTTGTGATGCACAAGTCTAAAGTTGTTGGTTAGTGTGTTGATACCCAGCTTGATTGCCTTTGTGACTAGTAAGTGTGTTAGGTACAAGATGGGATACTTTAAAGTGATATGAGCATTGGAAGTAGCTTTAGGCTTTTTATTAATTTCCTCCACAGATTATACTGGCCATTCGTTTTTCATCCGAATGCTAAGCACAGCGTTTTAGGTTGATTTATTCACGCGACTCATACATTTTATACAGTTTTGGAAAATTTTAACTACAAAAACCTCAATGAACTAGTCTTAAATCATCAACCACACTAAAACCAAGTTTTGTACAAAAAATAATTGAAAAGGGTAATATTTGTCCTTGTATTCTTAGAAAATAATTATATTTTTCTTTTTCTTACACTTTTTTTTGATATACTTGCCTTCGTCATTAGGCACAAACTAGTGAATTTGTCAAAAAGATAATAACATAACAATTTTTTAACTTAGGTATTACCATCTCTTTCTCCCCATCTCTATCTCTGTATGAGAACTTTTAGCAAAATTATCAGTTGATATCTTGAACCTAACACAAGGAATAGATTTATAACAATCAGAACCTCATATAAAATATAAAATAAAGAAGAAATATAGAAAGAACATAGGAAGAAAGATAATAATGCGACATCATTTTTGGATCATAATCATTAAAAACAAAAGAAAAAATATATGAAATCAATGAACAATCTTTCAAGCTCTTGTTGACTCCACTTCCATAAAATAATCTCAATTTAATAGCCTTTATCTTCTTCTTCAAGTCAACCAAAATATGAATATAATAAGCACCGAATACATAATAACTTAAAAGGTGATATACTCATTCATGTCTACTGTTTTTATAGGACTACAATATGAACATGAACATAACTATTAATTACTTTAGGGGGTTAGGATGATAAAAAGTTGTGGAAATAATAAAAATAAAAATCATTAAATTATACATGAAATTTGAAGAAATGACTTTTTAATTCTTAAAATTGCATATTGAATATAATTAAGAGGGTTAAATGAGTGCTATTTAGTTCCTTTTAATATATCACATAATCAAGAAAAAATGAAGTTAAGTATACAATGTAAGTACATAAATTACTTCTATATAATAATAGTTTGACTTTTCACCAACATAACAATAAATTTTACCAAAAAATAAAAAATAAAAAATTCGGATATATTTCGAACCTTTTTTCTTAAAATATATCATACTTAAAAACAAAAAAATCACCAGTTATTGTACCAGATCAGCCATCAACGTATATTCCTTAATACATATCACTATTTAAAATAACATAATATCAACAATTGTACCAAATCTGTCACGACCCATGAATACACCCTGGATGTAACATGACATAAGAGATCCCAAGAGACCTCACATAAGCCACTTAGATTTCATATCATAAATAATAGAAATGAGCGGAAATTTAAAACATTTTTAAAACATCAAAATTTCATAACAAAAGCACAAGTCTATTATATTTGGTCTTAAAACCATCTAAAACATGAATATCTCGGGACACAACCCATACAACAATGTTTAAAATATAATATGAAAGATCAAAAGGAAATGGCGGCTATAGCCTCGGATGCTATGAGGACTCACCAATCTTCAAGTCTTGTCTCTACTAAGATCCTAACCACTGGGATGAGAGTCGCGATCGTCAGGCCCTACATTTGAATAAGAAATATAGGTAAGAGTATGCTTTAGTACAAACATGTACTAAATATGATAGCTTGCATTAACATCAACATAAGCATAAGAGCTAAATAACGTCAATTGTAAACCATGACCAATACAAGTGAATACCATCTCAAGACATACTTATGATACCTTTTGAAGTAACCTTGCTTCATCATAACTGTCACGACCGGGGAGAACCATAGAAGTAACATGACGTACTTGACCTCTCGGAGGTCTTATACAAGCCCATAGTAATCATTTATCGCATTGTCATGGTAAATTTAGTGGAAAATTTAAAACTTTCATAGCACATCATATGCTAGAACATCACTTCCATTATGTATATAAAACATAAGACATAATACATAGTTAAACTCTAAGTCTCTTTGCCATCTTAGACTCAACATCATTAGAGTATATTAGGAACACGACCCTTACAACATAAAATAATAACTAAACTGTTGCATGACATTGAATAAACATAACATAGGAAATCCTTGAACTTAAGGTCCCTTTCCTTGAGCTTGAGAAACACATATCAAGCCCTTCACCTTAGAGACTGTAATGACCCAAACCCCCCCCCCCCAAGAAGAAGGGAGCACCCTTAGGTCGGAACAATTGCGTACTTGACCTTTTGGAGATCTTGTACTAGCCTTAGCTCTCATTCATTACATAAGACATGAAAAGTAGTGCGGAATTAAAACTTTTCACGAATAAATTAATAAAAAGAAAACATCTTTCATAAAATCTAAGGAGTGATCTCGTCTTCACAAGCCAACTTAAAGACACGACATAAATATCTTAGGGACACGGTCCTTTACATTAAATGAAAATACACAATAAGTCTTAATGATAGGAACTAAGAAATAGAACTATGCCCTCGAATATATGAGGACATACTGAGTCTTGAGAGAGTATATTTCTCAAGCTTTGCCTTCTAGTCTTCAACTTGCCTCCAACTTATACTTACTAAGTGTAGAAAAGTATGGGGTTAGTAGAAGACAATGTACTAAGTATGGCATATGAAAAAACATGCAAAAAGGAACATTTTAGTAAAATAAGCTTTCATGACAAATAAGTAAAACCTTCGTTATTTTAGAGTTGAAATAATATAAGAATCATCATTAATCACATAAAATAGAACTCTCATACTTTAAGAACCAAAAGATCACTTTACAGTAAACTCAAACAACTTTACAATGAAACATTTAAGACTACAAACCATAGGCTTACCTCGCACGGGAAAACAAGTCCACACTCTTGGCAAGACATTTGAAGGACAATCATACATTAAGGACTTCATGTAAGTACCCTTCTCCAACAGGAATTATAAGTTACACTAAGTGCAATGTGAGAGTAGCATCCCATACTATTACTCCACTTAGTGATCCTTGAGGATTCCCTTGGATTAAGCACTCTACATTAGTCATTCATAACTTCATTACATAAAACATAACTTTAACTTGCTTCTTTAAAATTAGACCTTAAGTCATCTAACTTCAGTTACAACACATGATAACTCATTCATATACTTCATATAAAACACACCAAGACTCCCCTTTCGAAAGGTCTACTTAGTGCAATGGATAGATAGCTTCCCGTACCACCACCTACCTTAAGTAGTCATTCTTTTAGTAGACTTAGTTCGTACACTTCATATAAAACACACCAAGACTCCCCATTCGGAAGGTCTACTTAGTTCAATGGATAGATAGCGTCCCATACCACCACCTACCCTAAGTAGTAAGTTCTTTTAGGAGACTTAGTTCATTCATTCTTTTGTGGGGGCTAGCTTAACCGACATAGACCATGAGAGCTAGACGTAGAATTTTGATACTACCCCTAACGGATGAGGGATCCCCACTTGCCTAGGGTAGGGTCATTATCTTAGCTTTTATATGGCTTTTCCAATAGCTACACCTATGCGGGCACATAGTTAAGGGATAAGGAGATTGCTACTAAGTAACTCATTCTCTACTAACGAGGAGTACTCATCTCAAGAGGTACATTGGAAGTACAACATCTCAACTCACGAAGTGTAACCACCCTTCTTCATATCCTCTTGGTGCTAGGTCTAACTCCCCACATATTCTCAACATTTTATACCATAGGTTAAGGATTACTAGTGGACACCACATCTGAACTCACGAAGGGCATCCATGCTCCTACCTATCTTCAAAACCTCTTGGAAGGTAGTGAGGTTGCTACTAAACACTTTATCTCAACTCACGAAGAGTGTTCACCCCAAAACTCCCCTTAATCACATTTACTAATTTCATTCATTCATTAAAGTGTGAGTATATGAGTGTAAATGTGAGCACACCTTTCATCTAATCACCATTTCATTAACATTGAATTCTAAGCATGCTTAAACCTTCATTCATCATATTTCACACTTAAACATACTTCACATAATCATATAGTTCCTTTAGACATTATCTCTAGCATACTTCACATAACAAGCTTCATAAAGCACATAAACAAGAACCACACATTAATATCATACTTCACATAATATGACCTAATGTCCTTATTCACAATACACAAGTAGATTCATATTCATATATTCAAGTAGACACCGCCACCAAATGTGGACCATACCACTCAAGAGCATTTCATAATAAGAGTTAGACAATAAGACCAACTTACCATTCATCCAAGCTTTCAACAACTATTCATAATTCAATCAAAAATTAATCATAAAATAGCTCTTAGGGTAGTAGCTAAACCACAATATCAACATGAAGAAACCATATTTCAAATACTACACAATCATATTCATATAACCCATTTCTCAAGCTAGAAGTTGGAAATATGCATAAGCATGGGTTTATTAGGGTTTTTAGGTTAAAATAACCAACTAACACTAATAACAACACATTTGAATCATTAAAACATTTTTATACGAAGACCCATGCTTAGAGTCAAAGATAGAAGAAGATAGAGTTTGGAAACCCTTTTTTGAGATCTTTTAGAAATGACTCATTGAATGGAAGAGAGCTAAAGGATGGCTACCATACCTCAAATAGAAGGAAACCCACTATTTTTTATGAAGAACACGTCCACCAACAGCCCTCCAAGCCTTTCCTTGAGTACAAGCTTCTATGGGTTTTGGGAGAGTCTTTCTTTAGAGAGAGAGTTTAAATATTTGAAGTGAGGGGTCTTGTCTAGGTCTAGGACTTAAAACTAATTTAATATACCTAAAAAACCCTAAAAATATCCTCCTAGGTTCATAAAAGACTTGGGGTGAATTTACAAAACACCCCAAGCCAAAGTAGTGAAACGTGACAACTTTTGCAGGGATCCATCGACAGACCCAAGCAACGGGGCAACGACTGAACGATGGCCCGTGCTGCATGGGCGTCGTTTGAGTCTGTAGCTGGAAAGGGGAGGGTTTATCTCCTAGGTTAAGTCTTGACCTACGCCCCTAGACGATGGGGCATCGTCTAGACTACGGCCAGTAAACTGTTAGGGCGTCGACTGCCTAGTTTTGGCAGCTTGGTTGCCAA